TGGAACATTGTTGTAACCATTAGTTTTTGTTGGTTGATAATTTGACAATGAAATCTTATTCCTCCTCGTTAGTGCAGAGAGAGAGCGAGAGGGAGTTCCCATCCTTATGTACCGAGAGTACCTTGAGTTGGAAGATCATCCTTGTCTATTATGAGTACCTTGAGTTCGGCAAGAGTTAGGGACCAAAAATCCCCTCTCGTCATTCCCTTGATCCATATCACATAAGTTGGGTTGTCGTTGTTAAATCGGCCTCAGATCTATACTTTTTTTTTTGAGAAAGGGCGAGCTTCATTAAGGTAATAAAAATTACAAGGAAAAATATAACAAAGGAAAATGGGAAGAAGAGAAGCAAAGGGGGGTAAGGGGAGGAGGAAAAAGGGAGAAAGAGATGGAGATAAAGAAGAGAAAGCCCAAAATCAGTCAAGAGGTAGCCTCACTGGCCAAGGAATCCGCCGTAGAGTTAAATTCATAGACAACATGGACGGAATAGACCTCAAACCCAAATAGCAGCAACATGATTTCATCAATGACATCGCTAAATCTCCAAGGAGTGGAATTTAGGCAAGAACACCAAAGTATGACATTTGCTTAATCACCCTCAATGATAACCCTATGACAAGAGGGATCCAAGAGGGCCTCACCTTTACGAACAGCCCAAAGCTCAACTTCATTGGGCTCACAATTGATATAGTGTTCCTTAATAGGTCCAGAGGATTAAACCAAAATGATATCGAAGGATACCCCCATATCCTGCATTAAGACCCTTAAAGCTACCATTGAAATTCAGTTTAACCTAACCGCTCGGAGGCACAACCCAGACAAAATGTTTGTTGGGGCAGGTTGGTTTGAATATAAGCAACTGAGAGAAATTAAAGAATATCAAGTCCCGTGGTACAACTTTAAGGGGAACAAAGGTATACACCCAGAGGGTGATCGATCGCTTAATGGCTTCAATAAAATAGGGCACCTCTTTGCTGTACCATTCGAAGGTTCTCAGGTTCCGCTCTCTCCAAAGGTTATAGGTGACAACGACAATGGAGATCCTCCAAAGCTGGATTCCCAAGGAGGAGAAGGGAGGGGACCACCATTATTGTAACCAAACATGTGTCTCAGCATGTCTGGGACCAATCCAGTTTATCGAGCTCAACCACCAATCCCATAAAGCTGTAACAAAAGGGCAGTGAATGAAGAGATGACCAATAAACTCTTCATCATTTTTGCAAAGTAAACAAACATTAATGAATATGAACCACATTCTCCTTAGCCGATCAATAGTAATAAGCATTTTATAAGTGAAAAGCCATAGAAAGGTCTTGACCTAATGGGGAGCTTTGCAGTTCTAGAACTTGGCAAGGGAAGGCCCGTCATCAATATAACGGTCTCTATGGATCTCATGGTATAAGCAGGAAGCCGAGAAGTGACATTAGGTTTCAGGGACTAGATTATCCTATATGGTTTCCTGGGATAGTAACAGAAAACATACAGTGATACTAGCAGCGCCTGAAACTATTCGTCGATAGAAGCATCCGCCCCCTGGGAACTAATCCTGATATCGCAAACCAGTAACATATACCAAATTCACAATTACCTATTGTTTATGTGTAGATCTGTTATATATATATATAAGGATAAACGAGTTTGAGAGGGAATTCACCCAACCATTTAGCATGCTAAACCCTGATTAGTGCTCCATCCCCTACCAAAATTCTATAATAGGTCATAAATAGCGGTCTAACATGATGAATCCCTTTCCAAATTGGGGAGAATCTGGATGCATTTTTTGGCAATAAATCTATTTGCATCTGTCCCTTATTTTCAAAGGATGACTTTTGGCCAGGTTGATCCCTATTATTAACAAGCCTCCACCACCATTTAGTAAGCATAGACTCATTAATTGCCTTGATTCTCCGTATTCCAATACCTCCTTCCTTTTTAGGGAGGCAGACCAAAGCCTAGCTTACCAATGTATCTTCTTACTTGATTGAGAGCCACTCCACAAAAAGTTTCTCATTAACAATTCAATCTTGTGAATTAATGAGCCAGGAGCTATAAAAATTGACAAATAATAAATATGCAAGTTGGATAAGGTGGCTTTAATGATGACCGACCTGTCAGCAAAAGAAAGGAATTGAGCATTCCATCCATCTAGCTTAACTAGAGCTCTTTGAATGATGGGATCCTATATGGATCTAAGGGTCGACCCATTAAGGAGTGGCAAGCCAATATACTTGGCGGGGAATGTTTCAATCTCACATTCCAACCACGAAGCCTTAATATGATATTTCAGAAGAATGGCAAATAATGCCAAAATTATTAGACTTGCCCATGTTAATCCTAGCTCCTGAGATAAGCTCATCCAGTTTAAGGAAAAGCCAATCATGATGAATATTCTCGTTACTTCCTTTCATCAAGAGAAGGGTGTCATCTGCATACTGCAGAAGACTTAGAACAGCCCCATTTGGCTAGGTTAGTAAGCCCTGGATGAGCCCACCATCCACCACACCTTGCAGCATTTTACTGAAGGCTTCAACCACCAGGGTGAACATGAAGGGTGACAGGGGATCTCTTTAACAAAGACCTCTAGAAGCTTGAAAGTATCCGTTAGCTTTGTTGTTCACGAGTACCAAAAAATGGACCGAAGACAAGCATCCCTGGATCCATTTATTCCGGATACCCCCAAAGCCCTTGAGTTCCAAGATTTTAAAGAGGAAATCCCATTCTACCTCATCATAAGCCTTTTCAAAATCCACTTTCAACAGAATACCCTTTGGAGCTGGAGGATTATGTCATGTGGATAATCCCCTGCCAGGAGTATACCATCCATGATATATCGGTCTTTAATGAAGGTCGTCTGAGGGCCTTCAACGACTTTATTAAGAACCAGACGCAGCCGGTTGGTTACAGATCTATACTTTGCGGTGCTAATTTTGCACCACGGTCCACATTGTAACTACATGGTCCACATTAAAACAATAAAGTTGAAATGGTGGCTACTAGATCATAGAAATATCTAAATTACCAAAATTGTCCAACCTTGTCTCTAAATTTTTGATTTGTTTGCAACACTATTAATCAAACTAACAACCTTCAACAAACCAATAACCCAAGTTTGGAAATTCGGATTTGCAAACATGAATGTCTCTTCTACAACTCTAGAAAATTAAGGTGAGGACAACCTTAGAAATTCAAGCCCTTCCATATGGAAAACTTTAAAAATAACTGATTGCTACTAATATGCAAGGCCAAAACTAAACTATAAACCTCAACCTAACTTAAGAAAACAACATTACTCTCTAGAGTGGGGGCTTGAACTAGATGTTTGCTCAGAGACTTTCGAACCGTATGTTACCTATCAGTTGAGATGGGCTCTTAACTCTAGGGGTGGAAAGGGTTGGGTTGGGTCTGGGTTCGGTAAGACTCAGATATGAAAAAAAATTATGGGACTTGGATCCAAAGTTATCGAACCCGGACCTGGACCCGGATCCCGACCCGACCGGATAATATTATTTATTAAATATTATTTATATAATAACACTATTCGAGTGGGGTCCACATAGACTGAGACCCGAATAGTATTCAGGGTCGAATATTTAGACCCAAACCCGACCCACTGGGTCAAATTCTTGGATCCATACCTGGACCTGGGTTTGGGTCGAGTCCCGGGTAGGGTTGGTCCATTGCCACTTCTAAACATAGGTTGGCTCTCTCTCATCCATCTTTCTTTCTTTCATAGCTTTAATGGCGTATAGTAATGATCATGAAACTAGCATTGATTGTATAAAATTGGTAAAGTTTGATTTAGATGGTAATCTCAGAGCTCATAGCTCCCATAAGCCGGATCTTGCTTCTTTGAGTTTTGGGGTTGCCTCTCCTTGATTGTAATTGCAATTTTTCTGATGAAGCTGTTGTTTTATTGGGTGGAGAGAGAAAATAATGTTTTGACAAAGAGAATTAACTTGATGTAGCCATTTGTTATTGAAATTAAAGAAGGTTGTTGGGGGTTTTCCTGAAAAGAAAAGGAAAGAGAGGGGCTGGTATGACCACAAATTGGCTGGAAATTTCTTGAGAAGCCATTTGTGCCTTCGGAGAGGGATGTAAAATTCCCTATATTGAATCAAGGGCAAGGTTTTGGTGCATTAGTCGATACACATTCAAAATAAGGTATCCTTTAATAACCCATCTTAGAGATGCAGTTTGGACGTAAATTTTAATATATTTATAATCCCGACCACAACATTTAGGAATACAATTTTTTTTTTTCTGAATCTTGAAAATAGATTCCTCGCAATATTATCATCATCTAAACCTTATCCTAATTATTTAAGGTCAGCAGGATGAATATTGTTTAGTCATTCTATTGTATCAAAAGTCATATATTTAGTTAGATAATAAGTAACCATATCTCTTCTAAATACTCCCATCTATGTCCTTTTGATCATTTCTATTACCATTTTAAAACCATTTACTTCAACTAAATGACCCCCTAATAATTAGTGTTGTCTTGGGGCGACACTGCACACGCATAGCCCACCTAAATCTACTTTTCTTCATCTTATCGCCTATTAAAGCCACCTCGAAATTTCATTCCGAATTATATCCTTTTGTGTTTACCACTCAACATCTCATATCTGCTACATTCATTCTATAGATGTGTTGCTTCTAATATTATGTTATATAAAATACAATTGTTTTTACCGTTGTCCAATTGAACTTTCCCTTAAATTTTATTGATAGTCTATTAGGTTATTTAATGAATTTAACTTCTATTCACTTATTCCGTGACTATCAAAATCATATATCTCCAGTGAAAATGCATCTACATTGACTTGAAATGTGTTTGAGATCATTAATCCATCTCTTATGTAAATCTTTGAAACTGAACTGCATTTGATTTTATTTTTTTCCTTTTTAGTCCCTGCAATGGCTATAAGCAATACCTTCTTCAAGCATAACTTACCAGTTACTACCAAATTTAAGGATACTTTCGTTATTTATGTCACAATAAATGGTCGAATGGTTAAAAGCCACTTAGGGTTTTCGAAAAAAGGGAACCGTTTCTTTTCTCGCCATTTTTAGAGAAAGAGAGGAAGCACAATTCGCGAGCAGTATCATCTCCATATCGGCTCCAATGGTCTGTAATCTCTTCACCCATCAACTCTTCTTCCTTTTTCCATATACCCCATTTCTCCATTTATTGATTATCTATCCCCATGAGAAATTTCCATTGAACTAATGTTTTTTTCTTTGTTGGAAGTTTTTGAGCATAAATGTCTTAATTTTTAGCCCATATTTCCATTTACAGGCGTCAGAGAAGAAGCTTACAAATCCAATGAGAGAAATCAAAGTTCAGAAGTTGGTCCTCAATATTTCAGTGGGTGAGAGTGGGGATAGACTCACCCGAGCTGCTAAGGCATGGCATTGATCCTGATTCACTTCGTGAAATCCATTGATTTTCCAATATTATCTAGTCATTTAGATAATATTCGCTGTTTATTCTGTATTTGATGACCGTGCTTTGTTTTGATGTATTCGTTGTTTCATCTCAATAAATCTGATAATTGCATCGGGCAGGTTCACGCTTTACCCCGCAACTTGGGTTTTGCTCGTTTCTGATGTTTCTTGTGGTTTATTGCTTCTATACTGACTGCAAATATTTTTGGTGAAGAATCGCAATAGGTCAACATAGTCTTGTTCCATGCTTAGTTAGTTTTTGAGAGTGGAGTGTTTATCTTCTACCAAAACAATGGAATTCAAAGTTCCAAGATACCGAGCGCAGAAACTTTAGATAACTTGAATTCCCTTGACATTTCCTGTGTGTTACGAGAATCCTAAAAAATTTATAAAAATATAGGGGATTGATGTATAACAAATTTTAGATATGATTCGGATGTTATTGACAAGGATTGGTGAGGTTTTTTTTGCCATATGCCTTATTTAGATTTTTTTTTTGGATTTTTAGGTGTTCCAAACTAAAATATTTTTTGAAATCCATATTTTACATACTTTAAGCTAATGTGGACGTTACAGATTTTTTTGGTTTTATTTGACGTTTACCGTTTTTTATTTTTATTTTTATTTATTTATTTTTTAAATTTTCAAGGGCTTTTGGCTCTGTACAGTACTCAGGCCAGACATTAGGACTCAGATTCACCTGAGTAACTCGCTTTAGGCCAGGGTCGAGTACGTGGCCTGAGGTGAGTCTCGACGGACTGCTAGTCTCCATTGTGATGTTCTCTGTCCTGAGTAATGACGATGTATTGGTATTTTTCTTTTAAGATGAAAGTCACTGCAAAACATTGACAAATTTATTTGAGGAAGCTCATACTTTATCAGTCAAGCTTCCCATCCTTTTGAGGCACTGTTTAACACAACTTGAATCCCGCTTGAGTGCCATTGCCTCAAATCTCTTTCTTTATAGAGTATTGTCATCATCTAGAGACGTTTCTTCTTTCTTCCAAGTTGAATCAGTAGAGTCTAGTGAATTGATAAGTCATTTGTAATCTCACAACACTTACTATAATAATTCCATTGGTTTGGAACTCCTATGAAGTTTTGGCTTGAACCATCATTGAATGTGGGTACTAACCTTGATAAGTTTGGTAAGTGGTGATGTTTATGCTCTGATTTGCGCTGATATCTGGGATGAGATCGACTGAATCTTTGCAAAAATGAATTTAATTTATGAAATAGTAGAGAAAGTGGGGTCGCCAGTGCGTTGCAAGAAGGTTCTGACCTTGGGTAGGTCCTTAAGAGACTCGATTGAGAGGGACTCGTAGTCCTCATAATCGGGTGAGGGTGAACCTTGGTGAATAGAGGCCTAGCTTGATGTACTCCTAGGTTTAGGTGAAGATGCCCGACTCACTAGTTTTCCCTGGTGGCTAGCCTTTGTTTGGTTCCTGATTTAATCGTCGGTAGTACTCTTAAGTCTTGCAGGTTAGCCTACCTGATGAGTTCATCATTCGGGATACTATGGATCTTACTGATTTGGTGGCCCCTAGAGTGGGTCTTTGAGGGACCTTGACTTGGTTGGGTTGAACTCTCGCCTTGAATAGGTCGACCCATGTCTAGTTGACCGCATGAGTCGAGCGAGGGAAAACTGAGGTGTTGGCGATGATGTAAATTTCGGCAACATCTCCCTTGAATTTGGGATTTGTGGGAGGTGCGCCCCTGATTGGGTAGCATCTTCCCTAGACTTGGATATTTGTGTGGGATGAGCCGCTAGTTTGAGCAGCACTTTCCCTAGACTGAGGGATTTGTGGGGTGATGCGACTCTGTTTGGGCAGCATCTCCCCTATACCGGGAAGATGAAGGGGGGTGAGTCGCTGGTTGGACAACATGTCCCTTAGATTGAGAGGATGAAGGGGATGAGCTGCCGATTTGGCAGCATGTTCCCTAGAATTGGACACTTGTAGGTGATGCGACCCTTGTTGGGCAGCATCTCCCCTAGACCTAGAGGATGAAGGTTCAACCCTGATTATTTAGCCCCAGGTCGAATGGCCTGGTTGTTTTGAGTGGCAGAAGCCATGCAGACTTGCTGGATTACATGGCTCGGCTGAATGACAATTGGGCTAGTTAGGCTTAGCCTTGGGTGTGGGATTATTAGGGACCCAATGGAACTTGACCTTGATTGACTTGGAATAGGGTAGGCTCAGGGAACTGAGCCATAAGGTCCGGTACGTCTAGTCATCCTAAGGTGTTTAGGCGATGCAATAGACTCAGTATCTGAGTAACTACAGACTATCGACTTGACTACAAGACTATGCAACAAAGGAGCAATCGAAATAGATTTGAAAAAAACTCTTTTTTGACATATTGTCACTTTGGGTAGGCTGGGCCAAGTTGTGTTCCTAGCCAAAGAAAAAAGCTGAAATGAGTTTTAGGTTGATTTGGGTATCCACATAGGTCATGGCCCTCTTTTAAAGGGATCAACTAAGTCATACTATATATGGGGTTGCTTCAGGGCAGAGAATTGTGGAGGGGTGCTCACAGTTCAAGTTACACAGTGTGCTTGGTGCCCTTCACGACGTTAGTGCTATTTTTAGCGGTTTTCGGAGATCGTTTAATGGTTTCTCGGGCTTCTCCGGTCCGATTTGTGCAAGTGGTGTGGAAAATCAACATTTAGTGGTATGTGCGCAATAAGTGATCAAAAAGCACATGTAAAAAGTGACCTAATTTCTAATGCAAGATAAGCACGAATTAAAGAAGATCTAGTCTAATCAAGATGTTGTAAAAAAAAAATTAGATTTGCTGATAAAGTTAAAAAGCAAAAGATGAGATAAAATCTTATCTAAATAAGATAGGATAGCATTTGTTTTTTGAATTTTGTCATTTTCTTGTTTTTTTTAATTTTATTTATTTACGAAAGAAGATAAATATGCCTTTTTCAGAAAGAAAGAGATGTTTTTTAAAGATGCTTTCTAAAAAAGATGAAGACGCACTTAAAGAAGATAAAGATGTTCTAAAGAAGATAAAAGATGTTTATAAAGATGATAAAGGTGATCTAAAGAAGATAAATATGCTTCTAAAGAAGATAAAGATATATCTAAAAGATGATGAAAATGATCTAAAAGATGATAAGAATGATCTAAAGATGATAGAGATTGAGAGAAAAAAGATCCTAATTTGTTATGGAGAAAAAAAGAAAAAGAAAAAGAAAAGATCTAAAAAGAAAGGCTTTTAACATTCTCAAGAAAAGATCTAAAAAGAAAAGATATAATCTAATAAGAGGAAATCTTTTCAAATTTATCTTGCTTTTTTTTTTTGATGGAAAATAAATATGAGAAAAGAAGGAGAAGAAGTTATCTTACAGTCTAAAATACAGATATGAAACTTTTGGATGAGATTAACTAAAACCTTTGCAAAACTGAGTTAAATTATGAAATATTTCATCTTTATCATCTTTTAGATCGTTTTTATCATTTTTAGATCATCTTTTAGATTATATGTATCATCTTTTAGATCATCTTTATCTTCTTTAGAATCTTTTTTATCTTCTTTAGGACATTATTTATCTTCTTTAGAGCATTCTTTATCATCTTTAGAGCGTCTTTTTTCTTCTTTAGAACATTATTTATTTTCTTTAGATCATCTTTATCATCTTTAGAAGCATTTTTTATCTTTTTTACATCATTTTTATCCTTTTTAAGTGCATCTTTATCTTTTTTAGAAAACATCTTTAGAAAGCATCTTTATCTCTTTTTGAAAAGGCATTTTTATCTTTTTTTTTAAGTAAATAAATAAAAAATGAGAAAGGGATAAAATTCATAAAAGATTTTCTCTTATCTTATTTTGTTTGGATTAAATTTTATCTCATATTGCTTTTTTATTGGTTTTTAAGTTTATTTGCTGGTCTAATTTTTTTACTGCATCTTGATTAGACTAGATCTTCTTCAATTCATGCCAATGTTTGAAAATTTGCCTGCCCAGCTGTCTAGGCGAAAAAATTTCAAAAAATCCTAGTTGCTAGTTAGGCGAGAGTGTGGGACTATTAAGTGTCCTATGTTTAGGCGCCCGCCTAGGCGGGCATGGCACTGCCTAGGCGCTACAATCTAGGCGGTCACGTAGGCGCCGTCTTGTGACAATTTGTCAAATGTCGGAAAAAAGCCTCGGCGAGGGTCAAGATTTGTCATTTTTTCCCTCAAAAAAGGGGAGAAAAGGGTTTGGGGGGATATTCTAAACACCAAAACCAAAACCGTGCCTTTTAGAGAGCGAAAAACTCCTCAAAAATATCTCTTTTGTGATTTATCAAAAGATCGATATTTTTTTATTTTTTTGATTTCTTCCCAAAACAAAGGTAATAGTTCGTGGGAGCTTTTGGAACTTCGAGTAGTCGTAAAATAAGGGATTGATGCTTAACAAAATTTATATGTGAATTGGGTGTTATTGACAAGGATTAGTGAGTTTTTCCCATATGCCCTTTATGTGTGTGTGTGTCAATCATCCTTGGAGAAAGTAGTTGGAATTTATCCTGGGTTTCCATTACAGAAATACTTTGTTCTATCGTTTTAATAGAAAAACTAGTCTTAAATTCAAACAGACCTTTACTATAAATATCTGAAACAGGTACCTTAGGTATGTTTCAGTTTTGAATTTGTTTTTCTATGTTATCTATTATTATTTCCTCACTGTTGTTTACACGTAATGTAATACTAGTAGTAGCTGTCCTATTAGATAGAGTTCTAATAAAGTCTGCGACCATAATTCGAGTCAATTGGAAACAGTCTCTGCACTTTCGCGGCTCTTTTTGGTCTTTAGTGATCTTTGGGTCACAACGACTTTGAACTTTACTACTGCAAACTGTTCTTAGAATTCTATCTAATGGTTCAGTTTTCTACTAGTACTACGGTTATACCACTGTATATGTAACTTGGCTCTGATACCATAAAGCGGAAACAGATAAATAAACAGAAC